CGGTGGGACGGGTGGCTGAGGAAGAGGGAAAGCATCTCCAGGAAGGGGTTGTGTGAAGCACTGTCCAGCAGCGGCTGTGGGTCGGGGTTTAAGGGCTTGGCTGGGCCCTGGGGCAGGTGGCCAGGAAGGGGGGGGGTGGATGGATTCAGAAAGAGGGGGTTCTTTTCCGTGGCTGGAAGGGCAACACCATACCACCACCCCCAACCACTGCCTCCAGCCCTGCGCCTTTCAGGGCTGTTGTCCACCATGAGTGACCCGTGCCCAGGGTGGCACTGGCTGCACAGCATGGCCCACGCTCACCAGGAGCTGCAAGCCTGGTTAAATGGAGGGGAAAAACCCAGTACCCAGGCTGCTTGTACCTGGTGCCTGGCCGAGGTGGGGACAGGAGACTGCTGTGCTCTGCCCGGGCCTAGAAACGAACCCCTTGCAGCAGCCAAACCGGAGCCAGGAAGGCTCCCACAGGCGGGTACTCAGGGCACTGGAAAGCAACACTCAATGGCCATAGATGGTGGCCAACAATCACCAGCCGACACTTTGGGGACTGCTGAGGGCCCCAAACCCAGCGCTGCGTCCCTGACCACTTGGCTTTGGGGTCTGGAGAGCAGCTAACCGCATACCTGCAGCCGCAGGAGGGGCTTTGGGGAGCTGGTCTTGAGCCCTTCACTAAAGGCCATGCTGGGCTTTGCTATGTTTAAACCTCGTTTCTCCAAGTATAGCCACTTGAATTTTTTAAGCTTTAGCTCAGCAGCTGGGACGGGCGTGTGGTTGCGGGAAGGGCGGTCTGGGGAGCTCCGTGCATTCCTCCTTCCTAACCGGTCGCCACAAATAGCTCACTCCCAGCCCAGGGCTATTTCAGACTTTGATGGGGAGAAGACTCTCCAAGGCTGGAGCAACGGAAAGTATTTGACCCTCACTTGACGGTGGGAAAGTGGCAGGAGGCAGAGCCTGATGGACACATGGGTGCTTCTCAGCCTTGCGCCACTCTCCACCCTGCACTGGCTCCGTTGTGGTGGTGCGGTAAGAAACCACCGAGAACCAGGACGAAGCCTCTCCCCACAGCTGGCAGCGTTTTCCAGCCCGCACTGTTGGCAGGCAGCTGCCTGCACCTCTGGCAGCACTGGGAGCTGGTGGCCCAGTGGTACCTGTCCCCAGCCAGCTCTGCAGAGCCCCAGGAAAAGCCACGGTGAGCAGCCTGCTGCCCTGCCCACCATCCGCAATGTCCCCTGTGGCAAGCACAGAATCACAGAATGGTAGGGGTTGGAAGGGACCTCTGTGGGTCATCTGTCCAACCCTCCTGCCGAAGCAGGGTCACCTACAGTAGGCTGTAGAAAACCTTGTCCAGGCGGGTCTTGAATATCTCCAGAGAAGGAGACTCCACAGCCTCCCTGGGCCGCCTGTTCCAGTGCTCCGTGGGAAGAAGTTCTTCCTCATGTTCAGGCAGAACTTCCTGTGCTTCAGTTTGTGCCCATTGCCCCTTGTCCTGTTGCTCCTGCCCACCTGTGTTCTGATTCCTGCCCCCTTCTCCAGCCCCACACACCCACCCTCACTGCTCTGCGGGCAGGGAGAGGCTCACAGCAGCTGCAGCCAGCAAACTCTGCCGGGGACAGGAGCCCAGGGCTCGTGCTGCCCTTAGCCACAGCCCTGCAGGCTCCACTTCCATCACACTATCGCCTGGTTCAGCGGAGAGAGGGTCTGCTGCAGCTGGAGCACAACCCCAGTACGGACTGGCGGCTGCAAAGCCCTGTGCCCGTCGCCAAGCAGCCTTGGCACCCGAAGCCCGGCCACCCACAGTGTACATTGACCAGGCAATGTGGCCAGTCCAGCTCCACCAGCCCTGCTGGCCAGGCCCTGTGAGTGATGCTGCAGCAGCATCAGGGGTGAAGGGTCTACCAGGACCTGTAGGTACAAAGGTTGGCTTAGCCGTGGCTCACACAGAACACGAGACCCAGCCTCTGCTGCTGGGGCCCAGCCACACAGGGAGGGCAGCTGGGTGCTGCTGCTGGAGCCCCCAAAGCCCACCATGCAGTGGCCTTCACTTCGGGCACTGCTGCTGTCCCCACTGCCACAGCACAGGGAGAGCTAAGTGCAGAAGAAAGCCAAGGGCAGGGAGAGCAGCAGGGCGAAATGGCTGCGAGGAGGACAGGGCTCGAGGGACAGCAGAAGCACAACGCGGGTGCGCAGCAGGGCTGTACTTGGTGCACAGGGACGGGTCGGCCATAACCCTGCCAGCGTGGAGCTGGAAGTGATGCTGGGCAGGGGACAGCGCAGGGGCTCGTTCTCCTGCTCTGTGCTCTGAAACACAGCTCTGTCACTGCCAGCTCCCCACAGCTCTGCTGCCGCCATCCCAGCACCCGGGGAGCAGGCAGTGGCACCGGACCAGGGGACGGGCTGACTCGCTCCCCCCGTGGCTCCCTTCAAACAGAGCCAACGTCGCCATCAGCCACGTCCCTC